GGGTGATTGTACGTACAGAAGGAGCCAATCCGTTGTTGTAGTCGACGTATATGAGGTGTGAGGAGTAGGAAGACGATAATAGTTCATGTGCTTAAGCGTGGGGGGTAGGATAGGCTAGGAGTGAGGTTGTGAGAGGTTCTGAATACTGCAATGTGATTGGACGATGCGGGGGGAGTAGGGGTGTCGTTCCTTGGGCCTCCCATATATAGTCCTCCTCCCCCCTCGACCATTTTCTCTCATTCTCCCCCTTTCGTATCACTTCACTCTTCCCATCAAAAACACATCAAAAGGAACTTCCCAATCGCTTTTCCATCTCACTGCATCACTTGATAGCGTTCAAGAACCCTCTAAGTCCAAGTAGGACAACCTTGCATCCACACCTGTCCTACATTGCTGCTGCTCTCACTTGATCTCCATATATCCCATCACACTTGTGAACGTCCCCTTCCGCTTGATATGGCAATCAACCCTTTCCTCAGTAAAGATGAGATGACTTCTCATCGTTCCTCCCTCATTCCTCCCTTGTCGTCCTCCGCCCCAGAGTTTACACAAAGTAGTGTCCTGCTGTCATCTCAGAGCCGGGTCACTGAAAATAAATCCCATTCAAAGAAGCGCAGGTCCCAAGGCGATCAAGCTGCTGGTAGTGCCGCCTCCAGATCTCGCCGCTTGGCTGACATCCCTCGCCGTGTTGAGCATCTCAAAGAAGCGGATGCTTGGCCGCGGGATGAAGTTCCCAGAACACCTGGCCCATACCAGCTGCCAGACTGGGATCAGTGCTCAACCAGAGCCCAGGTATCCTCACCTGGCCTGGAGCCAGAATATGAGCTCTATCAGACGGCTCCGCTCGAGCCGTATGGTGTCTCACTTGAGGCGGCCATTGATAACTGGCGAGGTAGCTGGCAACCGTCCCATCTCGCTCCTGACGGAGGCTTTGCTTACGCGGGGTCCTGGTGCTACACAGCACCCGTGGAACCTAGTCACCTAGAGTCAGAGTGGCACAACTCTGAACGAGTCATCCTCGCAGACGACTGGCGCCCCGAGACACCGAGGGATACTCGACTCTCCACGCCAGACCTGCCTCCACTGTCGACAGACTTTGAGTTTTGTCCATGCCACCGTTCAGGCGAGCATGAACAAGATAGGATAAACCAAGAATTCTACTTGGCGACAAGATCCAAGATGGACGTGCAGAGTATGTCAATACTTACATGGCCAAGAGGCCTCCTTCTCTTGCTGATGAATGCAGTGATAAATGCGCTGGCGCACATCGCGCAGGACCAAACAGCAAACGGAAGTGAGCTCCGGCAAGTCTCGCGAGAAATGAAGCATGCGTGATGGTAGAGTGAAAGTAGGATTGGCAACACCTGTATAGCTTTTGAGATCTGGCGTTTATGAACTGGAATGATGAATTGAGCGACGTTTTGGAGAGGGCGAAGCTACTAATAATTTTTTAGGTGTATATAGAGTGTGTTAGTATATTGTGCTCAAGAAATGATCATATGCAAGCATTTTGTGTTGTATGTTGCTTTTGAGGACGAATGACATTTGCTAGTTATTGTATGGACAAGTCAACTATTGCGCGTATCAAACCAAGTCAAAGGCAATTATATCAGAAATGATGTGAAAAATGAGCGAGACTATTGAAAATGATAGAAAAGTGAGGTATTGAGATGCGTTGATGATATGTTTGGCTTTACATTCGGTGTTGAGGAGACTTGATGGACCCAAAATTGGGGAAGGCCTGTAGGGGTTGAGTGAGAAGTGAGACTGAGAGGGTGAAAAACCAGGCAGAAGCGGCTGATGAGCCTGAGGCAGAAACTAAGGCATCTAGTTCTCCGACCGAAAACGGGCAACACCTCAGACGACAAGAAGATAACAATTCGACTCATGAGGCTCAAATTGGACGGTCAGACTAACAGATCTGCTGCAATCATGCAATGCCATCTCAAAACGTTCGTCTACCTGAGAACTGATAGCGTGTTTCTTTCTCTACCAATGGCGCTACATACAATATGCTGTGCACGGCGATTGCCAGCTGACTTGACCTTGTGGTAACTGACAATGGCACAGCATAGAATTGAGCCTCATTCCCATGTCATTTTGCTGTGATGGTCCCGTAGAAAACGATGACATGCGCGGGCGGACGCTGCTTTTAGGCTGGCGTGGTTGACCCAATGAATGGAGTCTCAAAACGCAGTATGAGAGGTGAAAAAAGCCTCACGTCATACTTGTAAGGCCATTATCAACGCCACTATCAAACTCGACAATAAAACTAGACTCGTGCGTTGTTATACTTCCCATTGTTCAGTACCTAGTTGGGCTTTTCATGTTACAGCACCAACACCGCCTGGCTTGCTTCTTTCTCAGTCTCACCAACAGAATTGGTTACGTCATTCATAATCGCCTTCATTCTTGATAGAGCGATTGCTTCGATCACAGCTACAAGCGATATAGAAGATACACGATAGATAAAAGCAAAATGGCGGAGAATTACGTCCTTCGAATCACAGCTGGTCCTGATTACGATCAATCGCAACAGGTCGAGGTCCCAGTCAACACCTCCAAGCCCATCACCATCAATAGCGATCGCGCTGACATTGAGCTCAACATCCGCGTCAACGACTACAAAGGCCTTCCTCGCAACTCACCAGCGACTTCACCATACTTCTCAACTGAGCCTCACGCCTACAACAGGGATCAGTACAGCATCTCATTCCGTTTCACACCAAAGAAGCCCTCCAGTGATGAGAGCCATGGCATCAAGGCCACGGATCTTCAGTTCGGCAATGACTTTGATCATCCCATTCGCGATCGTCTACCGCCTGGTTTCAACACGGCCATGAGTATAGTGCGCTGGTGGATCGACCCTGGTTTGGATGGCGATGCGTATGCTGATAAGCCCTTCTTGTATGGTCCTGCGTTGAGTTCTTTCAACACTATCCATGTAGGCAAGGGCGAGTTTGATGAAGAGAAGGGTGGTCTTTGGTTCGAAGAGGGTGGCGATGAAGATGGGCTCGAAGCTCGCGAGGAAGTCGGCGCACCTCTTACTAGCAAGGCGAGGATGAAATGGGCTCTCAGAGCCGATGCCAAAGAGAAGTGGTTGTTCGAGTATAACCAGACATACGGTTTTGACTTCTTCAATCCGTACCTCAACTTCTCAGACCTCGCATTGAACCTACCTGGCTTCCAGCTACCCATCATGAAGTACTGGGACGGTCAAGGCCTCAGGTAAGCCAACACCCACCCACCCTTCTTTTCTACAGCACCGAGACATTTTTGTCACACTCATTCCATGCCTTTGCGTTTACACTCGTTACAGGCCCGGCCCGAAACGCTCACATCAACTCAGATATGTCTTGCGCAACAAGGAGACCGGGGAGCCGTACCTCGTGATTCTGTTCTCGCTGTATCACAAGGATTATGTAAATGAGGATGGATCGTTGAAGGAGGGGGCACAGGATTCTTTCAAAGGACCTGAGAAGGATATTGAGGGTGATGAGGAGTTTGATGGGGATGGAGCACTGAAGGAGGCGACGGAGCAATTAGGACCGAAGATTGATGAGAAGGGGAACGAGCAGACGAGTGTTGACGATCTCGACTAGGGGATAGAGGTAAGGCTGGCCAGGGTGTAGTAATAGAATTCTAGATCTCGGGATGATAACCTGAAGAGGGAGAAAAGAAACAAGCTGTTTCGATCTCGAATTTCGGGTAACGGATCGCATCCTCACTTATTTTCGGATCCATCTCTCATTCGTCCCCAAAGATCCCATTTGTGGCTTCACATCGTTCGAATCATTCAAGCAATCTAAACATGAGACTAATGAGTAATGGCTGCAACGCAACAGCGGAGACCCCGGTCACATGAGCATTCACGTGCCCACTCATCTCTCCTCTTCTCCGGGTTTGAAGCCTGCAGCACTCATCACAAAAGATACGGTATCAGTTACAGATCCTCGGTACCATCCACGCATAAATGGCAGCGCAGAATCTTTTTCCCGTCCACTAAACGTACACGTATGTCCAGATTTCAGAAATTGTGTGCGTGCGTGCGGGGTGGGAATCTCAGATCTGCAAACGAGATATCTCATCCGGTAATAGCAGGCGTTTGAAACAATCTCTGCTTTATTACCGATCGAACCCCCTCAAAAGGTCGAGACTGTTTTGTTCCTCGGGCACACGGTCCAATTGGAAATCCTCTCGGCTGTTATCAGCCGAGCGTGGCTTTCCTAAACAAGTGGCTGCCGAAGCGGCATCTCGAAATCAACCAGGTGGCCGTCACTTTGCTGGTGACGGGGGGGACTTGGCGTGCCAAAGAGGCTTGGTCTAGGGGTTTAGCGTTTGGCTTTGTTCACGTCCGTCTTGTTCCCGATGTCTTGGTGCCGGGGCTATGATGGATGACTACGGCATTGTCCCCGGATGGGTTATTTGCAAAAAGGTCGTATACGTAGGAGGGGGGGACAGAGGAAACTTGGTCTTCCCAACATCCTCTCTACGTTTCAGCTGACGATCTAACAACGGTGAGAGTTTTGTGTTTCTTCAGTTGGTGTCTCTGTCTTACACGCTGCCACTGATCGACCCGAGATATCACTGCCCTCTCGCTGACGTCCCTTGTCTCTGAACCTGACCGTGCCGCACAAACATGTCCTCCATTACCCATCGGAGAGAATGTATTCCCCGTTAGCGTTTCCCAGTGTCCGAGTCACACCTCAAACGTGGGCCTAACAGGCGGCTACAGCGCCAAGACACCATTATTCCCGTTGGTATCCCGCCTTTTGACCCTCACCCAGCCCTTGATAATCCCGGGTTTACGCTCCGGATACAACACGGTCGTTGTTCCTGTCCTGTTCTTATTGCAATCATAATCCGCCCTTGTGTCTCCCATTCATTCTGCTCTTCTCTCTCTCACCGCTGTGTCTCTGGTGAAATATTCGGATGTCGTTGGACTCCTGCTGCTGTAAAAATCGTCAGTTTCTGGATATTGAATATCACGAACTATCGATATGATCGAGTCCGATACGGTTCAGACTGCGGGTGCTTACGTTCGGGACCTGGGCGATCTCGAGATTGGACCCAGCACCCTCCCGTCTTCATCAGCACAACCGAGTCTTGGTAGTGAAGACCCTATTTCCTATCTCTATCTAACACTCGACACTCCCCTACCATCACCACCCTCATCAGGCTCAAATCCTACACAAGATCTCCCACCATGCCCAGATCTTCGACCCTACGCTTCACCCTTCACGTTGCCGCGAGCACGGAAAAACATCTTCCTCGCGCTCTCGTGTATCGCGACAATGCTGACTGCATATACTGCTGGAACCTACTCTCCACCATCGAGAGCAATGGCTAGAGATATCGGGGCAAGTCATACAGCTACACTCGTCGGCATCACGACCTTCTGTGCTGGTTTCGCTATTGCGCCAATGGCTCTCGCCCCCATTTCTGAGATCTGGGGTAGACGTCCTGTTTTTATCCTCGCTGGTTTTGTGTTCGTCATCTCCCAAGCTGTCTGCTCTGTCATGCCTAACTTGGCTGGCATGTTGATCGCCCGCTTTTTCATTGGTGTCGGCGGTTCCGTCTTTAGTTCAGTCGTCGGCGGTGTCATTGCTGATCTGTGGGAGAAAGAGGAGAGGAATACCCCGATGGCTCTTTTCAGTGGCTTTGTACTGTTTGGAACAGGCCTTGGACCTTTGGTGTCTGCTGCTTTCGTCAACGATCTTGAAGATGATACGATGGCTTGGAAGTGGTCGTTCTGGCACCAAGTCATTCTTGATGGACTGTTGCTGGTCGCCATCTTGATCTTGTTCAAAGAGACACGGGGCTCGGTTCTGCTTTCTCGCAAAGCTAAGAAGTTGAACCAGTGGTATCAACAGCTGGAGGATGCAGGTGTATATGGACTTTGGGTAACCGACCCTCGGGAAGATACCTGCAGCTCGTCATCTTCAAGCGTCAAGACCATGCCAGGACATGAGACGATGCTTGAGTACAACAGACCAACACAACTACGAAGAATACGATGGCTCGTTGAAGCAGACGAACAACGACCCCCTCTTCGACAAATGATGGCTACCTCCATCATGCGACCCTTCTACCTCTTGTTCACAGAACCAGTTGTATTCTCCTTTTCCCTCTGGGCTGCCTTCTCCTGGGCTGTCCTCTACCTGTCCTTCTCCATCGTGCCGTATCTCTACTCAGACAACTACAACATGTCGATGCGCATCTATGTTGCGATGATGGCATCTGCTATTATCGCGACTGTGGTCGGCATTCTTCAAGAGAACTTGATGAAACATCCTTTCTGGAGCGGACACGTAGACGAGAAGGAGGTTTCCCGCTTCTGGCGATTTATGAGGAAGCATTTCCCTGCTGATTCTCCCGAGGCACGACTTTACTTCTCCTGTCTCACTGCCCTCTTGCTCCCCGCTGGCTTATTCGTCGCGTTCTTGAGTCCCATTAGCACGAGTCACTATACACAAGCTATTGGTATTGGCTTCGCAAATTGGGGTATTTACTCTGTCTACCTTGCTACGTTCAACTACCTTGCTGATACATATCACATGTACGCCTCTTCAGCCCTTGCTGCCCAGAGTTTCTGTCGCAATGTGCTTGGTGGCATATTCCCTGTATTGACTGGCATCATGTTTGACAATCTCGGTTTGAGAAACGCAGGTTCTGTGTTGGGTGGTATTGCTTCAGTTCTGACACTCATTCCATGGATTCTGGTGTTTTTTGGAAGCAGAATTCGGGCCAGGAGCAAGTTTGCGATCGTAAGTTTACACACAGTCCCGTATACTTTGGATGATCGAGGGTTTGTTGCTAACTGTTGTCAGTCTCTACAAAAACAGTGAGGATATTTGTCCATGAAAAGGCGGAGTCTAGTTAAAGTTCTTTTTGTTTCTCTAGATGGCACGAAGAGTTGTGCTTGTATGACCTGATGAACCTAAACGGCCTATCATAATCACCGTTGAATATATCGTACACATCATCTGTTCTCCAGTTTTCAGCCACATGCCGCGTCAATAGGTCGTAGCAGCATCTCTGCTCAATACTCTCTTCTTCTTCTTGAGTTTCCCTTTGCCGTAGTTGCTCTTGAACCACGCAATAGTTCTCTTGTCCAACGTATCGCCCTTCGAGCCCTCTTTTCGTAGATCCTCACATGTCCGCTCCGATAAGCTAGTCGCACTTCTCTCACGAGTGCTCCTCAGCTTCTGTAGGTCGTCCACGATGGCAGGGAGAAGCAAGTCTCCACTAGCGTCAATTTGAGGAGGAGGAAGCTGTACACAGCCTTCCCAGATGCGCAAAGAACTGGGGATTCCGTTGGTAGCGGAGACTTGGTGGTCATCGAGCGAAAGATTTCCATTCCCTGCATCGATGTAGGACTTCTGGCCGACTAGTTTAGGCCATATCGTCGATGGCGCAACACGATATGCGTAACTCTTGGTAATCCTGCTGTTATTCGAGAACAATGTCCCCATGAGCCGCGCTGTGTACTTCTCGCTGAAACCACACATACGGACCGAGCCGATGCGACCCTTGAGATGGAGGACATTGTTGCAGAAAAGGAGGTACGAGTCGGGACAATACTCTTCCACGGGTGCCACGGCTGGGTAGGTTGGGTAGGTTGGGCTGATGGCATCGGATAACGTTGGACTACGTAGGCTTCTAGCGTCTTCGTCGAAGTTGAATTGTCGGGGTGTTGTCGCTGTTGGACTGCACGGCTCTGGTGTTTTGGCGCTTCGCGATGCTGATCGTGATGCCGAGCGTGAACCCGGTCGGCTACTTATGGCGCGAGGCGGCGAGACGATGGCTACTTGGGGTCGCTTTCCATGGAAACGTCGACAAAGTAGAATTAGGCTCTCCATGGGACACGATTCCTTTCGCTTCATTTGTGCATTGATGAAATCTTGGAGCTGTTTCTCGATCTGTTCGACGTTTGGCGACAGCGCAACAGCCCCAGGATCTGAGCCACAGCCCAAATGCGTCATGTCGAGTTCGATGACGATGTTGTTTGCGTACATGCCGTAGTTGTTAAGCCATGTTGTTGCAAGTGGGCTTACTCTTGGTCCAGTGAATGGCGACAAGACGGCGTGTAGTTTCGTGTTCTGCAGAAATGCGACAAGAATGTCCGCGCGAAAGTCGAAAGATACTACAAGATAGGAGGATATTTGCAGTAATGTCGATGAAGGTGACTCAAAGTCTTCTTTGCGCCAAACATCACGGCTAAGTGCATGTTTGTTCAAACGCAGGGGCTTGTCGCAAGGCGGGAGTAGATAGCGACAGATGCGGTAGCGCACAGAATCAGGCAGTCGGAAATATCCATAATTTGGTTTCTTTCTCGCATGATTCTCATAGAAAGAGTCAAGCACCTTTTCGAAGCTTCCTTTCTCAAAAGCGCTGTGGTACACAGCATCGAGTGTCCGATCCCAAGCTGGGAGCCCTTGACGATGCGCACTCTGCGATACACCCAGCCCAGGAAACACAGTAGAAACAGGCGTAGAAGGCTGTGAGCGGTTCCTCCAAGAGGACGGATTAGAAACACTTCTTGTGCGCGCTTTGGCACTGCCTTGAAGGGGCATAATGAGGTCAGCCGAGTTGTTGTGGTTATGATGCAGGTGTAAAGACTGTAGACGCACTCATCCTCAGAGTCTCGAGACGTTCAGAAATGTCATTTTTGGTCTTGATTGACGCAACGCGACGGAGGAGGGAGGTTGCGGATGTGGAGGGCGATATAGAGGGCGATGATGAAACTGGAGTCCCCATTGCGGCGAGACTGACACTGAGGCTGTCGCTGTCGCTGCCCTGGCACTGGCACTGGCACTGGCACTGGCGCAGACCTTACCCATTTCTCTATACAGACTGGTTCAAGGGATAGATAATTAAACAATGCAGGGTTCAAGGAGTGAGGGATTATTAACCAAGTCGTTGTTTCTTGTACTAAAGCTTACGCAGAGAAGATAAACTTTGGTCCGTCTGGTGACTTACAAATAAGACATCTAGTATGAGGTAAGTACAGGTTAGGCAATCCTAGGCAATCCCTAACGTCGTCGTACGATTCATGTAGTCTACTCTACTATCCGTACAGTATTTGACAGCGGAAAGTTACAGTCTTATTGCCTGAGGCGTCTTGCTGTTTCTATACTCGGATACCATCTATTTGCTTCTAATCTTTATTGGGAACTTATTGCTTTGTCATTCATGTCACTCGATGCGAACTCTCCATCTTGCAACAGCATTCAATAGGTACTTTGACTCTGATGCATGAAAGTCAAAACGACACAATTCATTATTCGAACTATATTTACTTTATAATGTGCCGAACAATAATCATGGCCAATGTGTTGTCCGTGGAGTCTGCTACTGGTCGTGGAAGGCATCTTGGTTCTGTCTTGTAAGTGAAAACACTATAACGAAAAGGTTCTTTCCTCCATTTCCTCCAATCTGAAATCATCATGGCAAAAGACTAAGGTGTCGTGACTTCTCAAAAAGTCTTAATTGGTTTGGCTTCAAGAAGAAGGAGGAAGTCTATCAGCGAAGGGCAATGCAGCCAATGCCTTGTCCCCAGTACATGGAATGCAGCGAGTTCGTTCTTCAAAGTAACTCTCTCCAAGCACGAAGCTTTCGTGCGCGCAATATCCAATATTCTCATAAAATTTCGAATGAACCTTTCGGCACAAAGGTAAACATCTTTAAATACGTTATATCTTTCCTCTCCTTCGACTCCAACTTCTCTCTCCGTTTATCCTCAAGTCTTTCCGTCTCTCATAGTTATATGATCTTCTTGGACTCCAGGCTCAGCAAATATCACTTTCATCAACTTGATATCCGCGATCATGTTGCCCTCAACCCCTATGACGGTCTTGGATCCCAATGTTGTCATCCCTTCCTTATCTACAAGAGTCAGAAGCAGCTTAACCATGCCAACTCAAATATTAGTCGCCAGAAACTCGACACAAACCAACACCACCACGACCACCAAAGCCCATGACTCTCCGATCTTCAAACCCGACAGGGACGGCATCATTTCCTTGGTAATTCTTGGGGCCATCTTGGCCTTCTTCGTGGGACTTGTACTCCGAGATCTCGTTGAAAAGAGACGCTCCGGCGAGTTCAAGGAAGACAAGAAGAGTTGTGGACAGTTTTTCAGGACACTTTTCCGCCTACCTTGTATGATGTGTAACAAAGACAACTTGACGCAACTGTGGATCAAGTTCACGAATCTCTTCCGCTCCAAGGCCAACAAGCGCGTGGTAAAGAAGGCGGATCAGGACGGAATCGAACTGGACGAAAGACTCGCAACTGGGAAACCCATCGGGGTATTTAATGGTGCCTGTTCACCCAAGCCGGCCTTTGGTTCAGAGATAACTATGAAGAGTAGTCTCAAAGGTAAGGCCGTCGAGACTGCCATTCTCCCTCGAGTCGCCGGCCAAGGCTTTGCATCTACTCCTGTACGTGGGGGCAGCTCAGGGTCTATCCGACACAGCTCTTCTGAACATGATAATACTTTGGGTATCTCCTATCCCGATTTGTACTCGAAGAACGCGGGTTCCAGCTCGACAAATCACCACCAGGGCGGTGGTTCAAGTTCAGCTTCAGCCAGCCGTAGCCATTGGTGGTCGTCCGGTCATGGCCATGGCGATGACCATGGCACTAGCTACAGTCACAGTCATAGCAACTCCCACAGTCATGATTATGGGTCGCATTCTTATGACTTCGGCCACACTGACTCGGGTTGCTTTGACTCTGGTGGCTTTGATGGTTGCGATGGTGGTGGCGACTAATGCCGGTTCTAAATGGGATGATTTTGGATGCTCTGTACTGGTTGAGAATCACCGTTTGGGTTGTTGACTTACTTTGGGCGGATTGGTTGCTGGAAGAACATGCTGGGGGTTAATCGGTGGTTCAGCTGGAAGAATCTCGCAGGCCGGCACGGATACGGAGTCTTCGACGATTAGAACAGTCTTGGAATGGTAGACTACTGAGCACGTAATACACTATAAATTTCCAGTGGGAACAGAAAGGCAATGTTTGTGAATGTAACTAATTTGTGGAAAAGATGCCACACAGGGTTCCTGTCTGACTCCAGACACGTCGATATATACCATTGCATCACGTACCTCTATCACATACGACCAAAGCTCGTAGAAAATACGGGATCCGCTCTCCCATAGTCCCATAGTCAAGCTGCGAAGCGCTGGATTAGTAGTTGGGTCGGTGACGACCAGCGAATCCCCGGTGTTGTATGTTTTTTGCTGATTTGCCTTTTTTTATACATGATGCGGGTTCTGATTACTTATAGCCCCTGATTGAAGTATGATGTGTAGTCTTGTAGAGTCGAGATGGTTGGTGTTGATGGGGGTGAGAAAGCCCCCCTCCTTAATATGAACGACTAAGAAAACAGAGCGTAAGCCATAAACACAAGTATGAATACATACAATGGAGGTTCGCTGACCCGGCCTCTGGTATGGATTGGATTAGCACTTTCTTTGACAGCCTGGAATTTAGAACTTGATGTTTGACATGTTGAAGAACCAAGTCTCTAATCTTATACTGTAGCGACAGATGCTGAAAACATTAAATCGGGTCCAGGAACAAACCATATCTAATGAAAGAGAAGGGATTTCCCTTCTCAAGTTGGATTTGAATAGCATTGCTTGTGCGTAGTAGGCGAGGACTTGCCCTTTCTATGATAATCCTTGTTATAATTTACAGAGTGAAGCTGCTCCAGAGTATACGGTATGTGCCTTTGGAACAAGGTAGATAAACACGCGACAAGCCATGCAACAAGCCAACAGTCTCAACAATCAAGAGAACGTCAGATCTCTTTCCATATTTGTTGAGGGACAGCTAGTTTTCTTGGCCAACGAAAGGCCAAGGACAAGTCCGGCGATTGGCATCTGTGCAACTTACACAGACACACAGTACACGAAGTTGTTTTCGTGCTGGGATATCAAGTCTGTTTGCTGATACAGAGCTTCCTTGGCCTTCCTCTGGTTGGCCAAGACCCATCAATAGCGTCAAAATTTTCATGTTATCTGACAGAAAATACATTATCCATCTCATTCAGAGCCCAGAGATGTCGATATCTTTGTCGTCGGGGATTGATTGATACGAGGTTACTAACATTTAGCTGACCGGCAGTTGTGCCGCTTAAAAGTGGCTGCAGGGCGATTACAGGGGTCCTAGCACTGGGCCGTAGCACCCTCAGGGGGAGTTACCTTCCATTCTGGGCGTCTTTCGGCGTGTCGACCAATGATAGTATCTTGGGATGTGTCAAGTGACGTAACTTTTAATAACAAAACAGTCGGCGATTGCAATTTGATCGGCGACCAAAATAATGTCCTCGCTCTGTGAACCTCAAAGAAAGCAGCCTATAAGTCACGATGCTTGCTTGTCTCGGCATCTCATTTCAGGTAATTGCTTTCTTCTGACTCGTTCATACTGTTCACGTGTCACGTTGCTCACCGCTGGGCTTATCATGGAAGTATCTAGAGATTGGCTTATATAAAGTGAGATTCTTCTTCGATGATTGATTGTTCTCCGAGATATTCCCCGACGTCATTTTTGTTAGAGATCGATCCATCGAGTCCACTGTGACGTCCACTAGAGATTTAAATCGTTTGCGACGACGCTCACAAAGTGTTCTTGGCGATGCATTGTTGCTCGTTATTGAATTGATTCTCTCTTAATTCTCTTGTAGCCATGTTCTCGCGATCAACGCGGCGCTTGGCCAGCCAACTACGACTCCAACGATCTTTATCTATCCCTGCATCACAAGCTCTCGCGAGGGTACAATGTCGCCCCTTCATCGCGACACGACTCACAAGATCTGCATCGACAAACCCTCCCACTTCCGATAAGTCTGCGACGATATCGACAGATCCAAGTACTTCCTTCGCATTTCTCCTCGCTGGAGCAGCTTCCTTCTACCTCGCATACAGCTTCGCGCAACAATCTCCTACACGATGCGACGCCATCGTCCATGACGAAAACGACCATGATCCTCGAGATCCTTCTCTTCCTCGATATCGCATCAACGAAGTGCGCAAGCACGATGCTCATTCCGATAGCCCCTGGGTCATCCACCGCGACAAGGTCTACGATATCACTGAATGGATAGGCGCACATCCTGGCGGCGATGTTATCCTTCGCGCTGCTGGCGGTTCCATTGATCCCTACTGGGATATCTTTTCAATACACAAAAACGACTACGTCTACGACATTCTAAATCAGTACCTGATTGGGTATGTCGACCCGGCAGATCTCGTCGATGGGCGGCCAGCACGAGAAGAGATCGAGGATCCCTTCTCGGATGATCCAGTTCGACATCCAGACTTGATTACAATGACGCAGAAGCCCAGAAACGCAGAGACGCCGACGTATGCTATGACGAACGATTTTCTTACCCCTAATGACCTTTTCTACGTGCGCAACCACATGTGGGTGCCATCGATCGCCGAGAACCCAAATGATCACAATCTCACGATTGAACTTCCTGACGGAACCATAAAAGAATACACTCTCGCGGACCTCAAGAACCGCTTCAAATCCCACAAAGTCACTGCCTCTCTTCAATGCTCTGGCAACCGCCGACGACACATGAATGAAGAATCAGGCCGCAAAACAAATGGTCTTCCGTGGACTGCTGGAGCTATCTCAAACGCCTGCTGGGAAGGCGTCTTGCTCTCTGACGTTCTGGCAGATGCAGGTTTCGATCTACATTCAGGCCTCACGGGAGAATCCGAGGCAAAGCATGTTCAGTTCAATGGTCTAGAAGCTTACGGAGCATCGATTCCTATCAAAAAGGCCATTGATCCCCAAGGCGACGTGATACTCGCCTACAGAATGAACGGCCAGAGTCTCCCGCGCGATCACGGGTTTCCTCTACGAGCTATCGTTCCCGGGCATGTTGCCGCGCGATCTGTCAAGTGGTTGAACCATGTCACGCTGAGTGACGAGGAGAGCACATCTCAGTGGCAGCGACGCGATTACAAGTGTTTTGGACCGAACCAGACAAAAGTCGACTGGGATGCAGCACCCGCCATCCAAGAATTACCTGTTCAAAGCGCCATTACAAAGTGCAAACTCGGCGACTGGACAGCCAAGGATGATGATTCTCACACTTATACAAAACCAGCTTCATTGGCTGGCTACGCATACTCCGGTGGAGGCCGCGCCATCGTTCGCGTCGACGTCTCCTTCGACAACGGCAAAAACTGGTCTCAAGCCTCCATCCTCCCCGACTGTTCCACAAAAGAGGGCCAAGAATCACCTTGCTATGGTCACGCAGCTTGGGCATGGCGGAGATGGAAATTTGACGGTGCAGTCCCACTGGAGGCCTTTGAACCTGCACCATCCGGGAAGCGATGTGCGACGTTTGTTGTGAAAGCCACAGACGAGGTGTACAACACACAGCCAGAGAGTCACGCAGCAACGTGGAACATTCGCGGTAATCTTGCTACAGCGTGGCATCGTGTGAGGATCTGTGATGATGGTCCTACGGGGTCGGAAAGAAAAGTGTAGAATTGGTTAAATAGCACTGGCGATGGGTTTTGTAATTTTGGCTGGAGTTTGAGATCAGGCGAATGGGTTTGTTACTGGACGAGCGATACATGGCGGTCATTGTAGCCATACGCACAACGGGTGCTTAATTATTAGAACGACTTACGTCAGAGTCTATCAACATTCTCTAATCGAGTTGATGACAAAATAAGATCACAGGTGGTAGACCACCCAATTCTATTCTCGACTAAGTGAATACATCATCCCCAGGCATATTGTACATCAGCCTTCGCTCCGTACCCACTCTATTCGCTTGATCCGCCCTTCTAAGTGTACAATCCAACTATCTCCACAGTATCGCCCTCGCTCTCGAACTGTTCCGAGACAGATTCACACCTACTCGTCATCATCATCGTCATCCTCCCCAGCGTCGGTGAAGTACTCGAACTCCTTAGGTACAGGAGCCTCTTCGTCGTCATCGGAGTCTTCATCGACGGCGGTCAGTACACCAGCAGCAGCGGCGGCGCCTGAGGCGGTACCACCGGGAGTCTGGGGCTCAGCGTCGAGCAAACCGAATGGCGATCGGCCTTGGTTACGAAGCAACTGTCCGAGCATAGCGCTGTTGGCTCCTCCTCTGGACTCGGCAACACTGTCAAGAAAAGGGCGCTGAGCCCCGCCTCGTCCGCCTCGTCCAGTTTGTTGACCAGCCACAGGGGCCCGTTCGGTTGTGACCTTCTTCAGCTTCTCCTCAAGTAAACTCTTCTCCTCGTTGGGCTGGCTGTCATGCAGCAGAAGGGGGCCACCAGTAGGCTGTAAAATGTTAGCAATGCAAACGTCGTAGCAAGACTTGTATGCTCACCTTCTTGACGGGCTTGTATCGGCCGGCGGGGAAGCTGATATACTTCAGTTGACCAGGAAGAACTCGGGTCATGTTCTCGATTTCGTAGCCAACCTTCTCCTTCTCGGGCTTCTTCTTGGCTTCGGCAGAAGCCGCTGGTTCCTTCTCTTGTTCCTCCTTCTTATCCTTACTCTCGTCCGCTTTCTTGTCTTCGTCCACGTCCATCTTGTCGCCACCACTCTTAGGGGGGGCGGTATCGATTTCCATGCTCTCTCTTCGCTGGGCGCGCTCCTTCTTCTGAGCTCGTCGTTTGGCCTGCGCAGTTGTTGAGAGAATTGCGGTGGCAATCAGAGCAGGACCTTCTTCGGTCTTGACTTCTTGCTCAGGAGGGTAATCGAAGAGGCTAGGTCGTGTAGCACAGTGGAACTTGAAGTTTGGCAT